GATTGTAGAAGTCGTAGTAGTGGAGAAAGACCCTTCGCCCGAACGATTTCGAGCTGGTATTTCTCATCAGAGGCGAGGTTGCGTAGGGCGAGTGCCGCTTGGCATTGTACTTTCGGGGTGGATGAATCCATAAGATGGACCAATGACTGGACGAGACGCGACTCGGTTTGGGCGAGTCGCTTGCGGTTGGTCGAGTCAACCGCGATATTGCTAAGAGCTGTTGTGCAGTAGTACTGAACGTCAACGTCGGGGGATGAGAGGAGATGCACGAGCACAGGAATGGCGCCGGCATTAACAAGTTGCTGTCGATTGTCATCTAGTGATGTTAGAGAAAGAGCGCTTTTCCACAATTGAGATCGCTTACCGGAATGGGTCATATTAAGCAGTGCGCCCGTCGCATTTCGCTGGACACGCATATCCTTCGACTTGGCCAGGCGAATAAGAGGACCTAGAGCACCAGAGCGAGCAATCTTGGCCTTATTCTCCTCATGCGTCGCGAGATTGGTGATACACCCCACCGCATTGCACTGTACCTCAACATTGGGCGACATCATCTGGCGAATCAGGGGAGCCAGCCCCCCGAGGGTGACGATCAAGACCTTGTTCTCAGCTGCATCGAGTCAGCGACCGTGGGAAAGCGGGAAAGGAGATGGGTGATGAGGGGACCAACCATTTACGGCGAGATTGCCCAACGCTGCACTAGCAGCTCGTTGGACTTCGATATCTGAGCTTTGAAGTAGGAAGAGGATAGGTTCGAGGGTATCGCGATCGACCTCGCGCACATCTGCAGATAAGACGAAAGGTCAGGTATTGCATCATTGTTATCCGAGCGGCGATACGCACCTCGTTCTGTGATCTCAGCAAAGGTCAAGCTAGCGCTTCGTTGCAGGTCGACATTTTCGGAGTAAACCAGGGTACTCAAAGCTCGTAGTGGCTCGCCGTGGAAGAAGTCGGTCTCCGCGCGCTGTACATTGGAAGTTAGCGGTATGCACTGGGCAGAGCGATACCTAGGCGAACTAAGTCGCAGAGTCTGATCCGAGGAAGGGGAATGTAGAGATGTAGAATGATGGATTGTGTAGCACGTACGTTCTCCAAGTAGCCCAGAAGATCTGATACCGCTTCTCGCTCATTATCGGCCAGAGTGGTTTCGTAGATACCGTCTCGAGATCGAGCTCCGATGGGACCGAGACATGCTGTGATATGACACCATCGGTCTACTGCTGAAAAGCAAGACAGACAAGCATTCGCAATTCCACTCATTCTGGCTAGGCCCGCATCGGGCGCGGTCCTGTGAAGTCTGAGATAGAGGTGAAAGGCGAGCGGTCGGGGTGAGATTAAGGGAGTCGAATAAACCCGAAGCTGAGGGAAACACAAAGAAAAGCCGCGTGATAAAAAAAAAAAAGGTCACAAAGATCACTGGAGGGAAGCCTCCTGATGCTTGAAGGAAGGAAGTTCCAGCTTAAGGGAGGGGGGGAGAGATCGAACTAGTCTCCTCAGGCAGAAACTTGAGATTAAATGGGCTATCTGTTTCAATTGACATCTCAATATAATTTTTTTCTTCTTTATTTTTGATATCTCCAAATTCTTAACTATCTCCAACTTAAAGGTTTCAAAAATAAAGATTCCCCATTTTAAGCAGCTCCAACGCATACATCATCGGCTCCGGGGGAGCTCTAGAGGCTGACCAATCCGGAATAGGGGATCAACTGCATCTACAATGGTAACAGTACGCAGTACGTTGTATAGCATATATATATATATATAGATATAGATATATCGTGCTTCTATATGATCCGGAGAGATTCAAATTTTTCTATCTCCATATCACTTTAAAATTAGGATCAACGCCTTTCTATCTGCTGTCTAAATCCCGTAAACTGCGCTTTCCAGCCTCCTCCCGAGGGTCCGTGCAACATAAAAGGCATATCTTTGCCTCTCGTGATTTTTGTAAGTGACGCAGATGATCACCAGATAGAGTCACATACGGTGTGAGTGTTGATCTTTTTTGGCATTTGCATATCACATGGAATGCTATTAGATTAGGGATACATAAGCATATTCAGATTATTCAGGGACTTGCCTACTTTTTCTTTTAAGATTGTATAAATCTTATAAGTATGTACTCCATATGTAAAAGCGTGGACCAATACTTGCTCAGGTGCTTTCTATGTTGTACATGAAGTACATGAAGTAAGGACGCTTAAATATGCCTCAGGCCATTTAGGGCTGTGTCTACTTATTGAGCTAGTTCGTATATACATAACTACTTCGAGCATATCCTTCTTTCGATATTTTGTCATTTCCATGGCTTATTATACTACTATGCTACTCTGTATTCGCAGAGCTTATATTCTATAGAGAGGATCCTGTAATCTTCTACTCAAACATAAATATATGCGGGGAAATAGGCCTGGGGTCCGAGGATGCCAAGAAATGATGACTGTCAGGGCATAATAACCGATGGCAAATGCCCGGCACCGAGAAAGGGTGAAAGAGAGAGAAAGAGAGAGAGAGTATGTACAGATAAAGAGAAACTTCCTTCCTTCTCTCTCTCTCTCTTCTTTGCTTGGCTTTGTTTCACTTCTTTCTTCAATTTGCTCAAAGATCCCCTTACCTCTCTAATGTCTTGGTAATCTTTGAATCGCATTAGCCCATTTGCAGATCCCACCTGTGACGTTGCCCCTCGAATCTCTGGGCACTATTGATTTATCTGCATGTTGAATTCTTTCATGGTCGCCAAATCGAATCCATGTCTGCTTCAGTCACCGCCTCCACCTCCCTCCCCGACAGCCCTCGCCCCAGTCGCCTGCGCCGCTTCAGCCAGTTACGAACCTACACTCAGAATCTGTCATCTTTGCCCGGGCAGTCGTATAGACACAGTTTTAGTAGTCGAATCCCTTGGCGATCCTCAACTTCGGGCTCCATATCTCCGCCAACGAACTCCACAGCTCCCCCATGCCCTGAACCTGATCACCCGCCCCTCTCTCGTTACACCTCTGCGCCCGCCCCGAGTTACGGTTTCGCGGAACTTAATAGTCAAGTATCATCCACCGAGTCCGCCACCTCTACGCCTTCCACCTCTACGCCGTCCAACGACGTTACCCGAACGCCCAACTCTATGGCGCGCCTGAGGAGCTCTTCGGCCGTCCATCGTCCGCCACCTCGCACGTTAGACCGTGTCACAAACTCGCAGGAGTCTACCCCGTCCCCTGAACCGGCCGCTGTTCAAAATAATGTGATCGAACCCACCAGTGCTCCTGCAGAGGGGCAGGAGACCCCCCCAAAATCGGAGACCAAGGCGACCATTCGGTTCTTCCCCTACCAAGACTCCCTTCAGAGTTCGAGGCCCTCGTTACCTTTCGTCCCAATCGCCCGAACCCTGCCATCAGAGAGCTGTGTGATTCGAGTTGGTCGATACTCGGAGCGTGATGGTATACCCCCGCCTAACCCGACCGAACCCTCGGATGCCCCCGTGGGCTTCAAGTCGAAGGTCGTTAGTCGGAAACACTGCGAGTTCTTATACGTGAATGGACAGTGGCACATAAAAGATGTTGGTAGCTCTTCAGGGACTTTTTTGAACCACATGCGTTTGAGTCAGCCCAATATGGTGTCTCGTCTGTACTCCATCAAAGACGGCGATATCGTGCAGTTGGGTATCGACTTCCGAGGGGGAGAAGAAATGATCTTCCGATGCGTTCGGATTCGGATTGAATGTAATCGATCGTGGCAGCAGAAGCCCAACGAGTTCAAGTGGGATCTTACCTATTGTCCGGAGTATCGTGTGATGCTAACAGATATTCCAGCAAAAATACAGAAAGTCTTATCAAAAACTTGGGCAAGGGTGAGACGTCTGATTATTCGGGTTGCCGTGAATGCTCAATTTGCCTTGGTTCCGTCCTGGTTCGTTCCTTCCTTTGCTTTTGCCAATCCTGCATCTACTAACTATAATAAAGCGGCCCTATCAGTGTTTGTTCATGGCAGCCTGCGCGCACGTTTGGCATTACAAATGCATTAGTCGTCTGCTTCACTCCCCCGATTACCCAATGTTCCAATGCCCCAACTGTCGGGCATTCACCGATCTCAGCGCCGAGGTCGATGACTCGAATGACTCGGAGGAAAAACGAGACAAGGAACCAACAGAAGAGAGGACATCCAACAACTCTAGGGAGCAGCTCGAAACGGAAGTGCCTTCAGTCGCCGAAACAAACAGCCTGGAAGGGCCGTCCGATCAGCTCGGAGATCTTGCTGAAGAACATTTGGTGAACAATGTTGAGAACTTGCATCTACAGGATGACCAACAAACCGATGACACTCGAAGCACAGCCTCGCCGGCCCCTAACTCAAGCACCGATAACCTCGCCCGCAGCGCCACTGTCAACATTCCTGGATGGCAACCAACACAACCACTCAGTGTGCCCTCTGGTCGCCAATCACAGCTACGAACTGACACACCAGTGCGCTCAGAAACGTCTGACGACAACCCGTTGACTCCACGAAATGACTCGGGCCCTTTGGCCTTTGATGGCCGAGCAGGAATGCCCTAATACATCGCTTCGGGTCGAACGAATTTCTGGAAAGCGAGGGCTTTGGGCATTTTAATACATATTTATCCTTATTTTTTTTGGCATCTACCCTTCTGTAGGGGCTTATCATCTGGGCATTCTACGATGTCACCATTGCAAGGAACCATATCTGCGTTGGCTTCTTCGGGTGCACACTCCATATACACCGTTTCCATTGTTCCATAGCGCGTATCTCTTCCATCTAGTTTGATTCGTCATGGCGGCTCGGCGTTCTCCTTTCTCCCTCCCTTGTCCCCTCCCCCAAAATCTACTGATACCCATTCGAGATCTGGACTGTTTTGAATCTCGGCACATCTGATGAACCAGGAACATTCTTTCGTTAGCCTTCAGATTGTTTTGAATTATTATTAGGTAATAACACGTTCGGCTTGACTCTCCTCGTACCGCAATCCTTTCACTGCCTGTCTATGTACATACCTAAACAGCCTCGGAGGCCTTCACCTGAGACAGGTCATCGACCTCGTGGAATACAACCGGAAACATACTCGAGAAGGTCCCGAGCTAGCAAAGCCGTCAGAATATATCCTATCTTTCTTATCAAGATAACTCACTCTGTTCTCTACAACTTTCCAGTGTTGACTGTCAAGCCAAGTCTTGGAGCGATACACATCGAGTCGTTCCAGCCGGTTCTCGGCACCCCATATGTCTAGAAGCGAGAGGACAAAATGCTTGTTGGCACCATTTAGTCGCAGAACACCATGATGGATTCTCTGCAGATAATGCTCGCTGATGAATTCTGTGATATCCATCTGACGCATGACGAAATACGTGCTTGGTGTGCCGTAAAGGTTGAGTGGAATTCGATATAGATAGTGAAGAGCCTCTGTAGTGATCTTTTTGTTGAGAAGAAGAATAGATGGTGTATATCGCTTCACATAAGGCCGAGGAATGGTGCAAAGAGGACCACGGTCGGGCGATGACCAAAGGTCTGGCAGCTTTCGATAGCTTTTCACATATTCATTTGGCTTTAGTACATGTGTGTATATCATCAGGCGAATCTCGGCTGGTAGCTCAAGCAAGGAGACCATGGTAATTTGCAGCAGTCAAGTTGTGAAATGCTCAAGTCTGTCTTTGCCCCTCTTTCTCTGGCCCCCGAGGGGCTATGGTCATATTGGGTGTGGCTGGAATATGAATGAAAGCCTCACTGCTTGATTTTCTTTCTTCTCCAGCTGGCATTATTCACAACTCGGAAAACCTGGGGATTAAAACAATAACTTTTATCGGCATCCCGAGAAAAAAGAAAGTTCCGATCACTTTTGTCAAAACAAAACAGAAGGCTCGCTATATCAAATTCCACTGAGCCTTTTACCCATAGTTCACCTGACAATCATCCTAACTTGTAGGAAGACTGGTCTTTCAACTAGCCTTTCAGTTGAATCTTCACCCACTCATCAACACTCGTAGGCTCCCTCCCAATCAACCACCTCAAAACACTGGGATTCCCTTTCAATCCACGCCGATTATAGAACAAAATTAGCCTCTCGGCCTGGTCCTTTGTGATATCAGGACGTAGATCCCCCTGTGAGGCTGGCCATCTCAAATCCGAATCCACATGATCCCCGCTGTACATCCCGCTCTCCCCGGTATATAAAAACTTGAGAAGCTTGCTAACACCCTCTTCAAAAGTGGGAGTTGGAACCTTGATCTCCTTACCAATGTGTTTTCCAATAACCTTAATGGCTTCGGCATCAGAGACAGGGAAGGTCGAGCACAGCGGGTACTGAGCGAAATAGTGTGGTTCTCGCTCGTCCAAAACCCGGGCCGCGGCTTCAGCCAGATCTCTGAGCGCAATTAAACTATTGGCAACATTTGGATTATAAATGCCCCAAAGATACTCGATAGACGGGTCTTCGATGTTTGCGAGTGCAGCAGTCGGATACGCATCCATGAAATTGGTTGGTTGGAGAATTGTGAAGTTCAGAGGACTTAGTAGTAGTCTTTCTTCGACGCGGCACTTGTGGTCGTGTTGCATGAGGTTTCGATGCTGGGTGCCGAGTACGCTGGAATAGACGAAGTGCTTGAAATTTGTATCTGGCTTTTGGCTCTCGGCAACGGCTGCATCGATCATGTTCATCCCGATTTCCTGTTCACGGGAATGGAGCGAGGGACCCACGTGGTAGACTGATGTTGCATTGCTAAGAAGCTTGCGGCAGTCTGTGAGGGAGGTCGTGTCGCATGTTTGTACTTCGGCCTCTGGGTAGGTGTTTTGGAGATGAGAGGCGGATTCGGTGGTGTGGCCTGCTAGACGGAGTTTGAATCTAGATTTATCGTATAGGAGACGGATGAGATGAGGGCATTGTTTGCCACCTGGGCAGGTGATTACTACAATTTCCTGCATTGTGATACCGACTGGACTGTTTGATATGAAAAGAGTGCCAGACAGATTTAGAAGAGAGGTTGGGCAAGGTTATATACATATAGGTGGAGGTCTTTACGTCAGATTTGCCTCATGCAGCTGCTCGTTTATTGGCTCAAGTAAAGATTGTACTGCACTTTGTAGAGGAGGACTTATAACAGCAAAATTGAGAGCACCAGCTTATTATTCTCGTTACGGCATATTATTCTGCTAACCAACCTACGATGAATATAGCCAACTGATGTATATATATTCACGTGACTCATGACGCTAGTGTTGCCAATGTGGGTCCAGAACCAAAGGGTTGCTGGACCCGCTTTCCATCTTGACGGCAACCCTGGTTCCGATTTCAATCTCCCCCGGATTTGAGGGCTTGGTTGAATACTAAGAGCCGAATACCGCTCAGATTCCTTATCTTCTCGAGATGAGGTTAAATTTCAGCGAGCCACCCACTCCGACCTTGAGTCGCCAAAACACTACGATACAAGGTCATCATCAACGACGCGGCACTCATCCTCATCAGCTGTCATCGCGGGCAAAGCCAAGAAGGTGAGCTAGCTAATCGGTATCTGCTAATCATCCACATGTGCTAATACTATTCAGATGGCCACTTGTATTTCGCTTTATCAAAGGTGCAATTCATGGTGCTATATTATTCCCGGTCTCTCTGCACGCTCTATTCACAGCCTTGATTGTTTACTTGGACACCTACGTATTCGAGACTGTCGGTCTACCTAGTACCATTGTATGTATTCCCAACCAAATACACCAGACGGCAACTAAACATACCAAAAACAGATCCCATCCTTATCTATTGTCGTAGGTTTGATGCTTGTGTTCCGCAACCAGACATCCTACAATCGATTCTGGGACGGGCGCAATGGAATGAACACGCTCAACACCTGCGTGCGCAACCTTGTCCGCACGATTGTAACAAATAGCTACAGTTCAAAACGGGGCCCACCCACTGCCGCAGAGCGCGAGGATATCGAGCGTACTGTTCGAATTCTCATGGCTATCCCATATGCCGTGAAAAATCATTTACGCGCTGAGTGGGGCGCTGCTTGGGTCTTTGGAAACCCCGTCGATGAGGATTTGAACGTACATCCTTCCACCCTATATAACCCCGAATATGCCAATCTGCTACCTGCAGGCCTTGAGGGTCATGAAGACGAGGGATTGGGTCTCCCTTTCCAGTTGACCTTTTTCATTGATGGGTTTATCAAGCGCGGCGAAGAGCGTGGCTGGTATTCTGCGCCTGGTGCTAGTCAGATGCAGGCTCAGTTGAATACATTGACTGATGCATATGGGAAGATGGAAACGATCAAGTTGACTCCGATGCCAGTGGCTCACTTGTAAGTTTCATGGCGCTAATCCGTGTTGTGTTAGGTTTGTATATTTCAATTACTGACGCTAAACCAGAATTCACCAAAAGCAAGTCCTCGCCCTGTTTGGCTGTGTTCTGCCATTTGCTATGGTCGACGAAATGGGATGGTGGGCCATCCCCATTGTTAGCCTTGTTATCTTTACACTCTATGGCATTGAGGGAATAGGGTCGCAGTTGGAAGATCCCTTTGGCTACGACAGAAATGACATCAAGATGGATGCTATTGCCGGTGACTCCAAGACTGAAATCGATGTTGTTCTGTCTGAGTGGCGCACGCACTCGAAAGCTATGGAGACATTGAGACAACAGCCCGCAGGTGCAATCCACAGCAATCTATGTTTAACGCCTGATCGAACTGAAGCTGGAAACGGAAGTGTGGACGGCAAGTACACGCCCCCAGACTTGTTCTTGAGGTCGAGACCGAGTACTGGGAGGTGAAGGTTTCACATAGAATGTGTACCTGGTGTATTGCTGGCGTGATTTTCTACATGTATAGCCTCGACTTAGCATTGGGAACATCAACTTATCTGTAAATATAAGGTAGGCCCACGTAGCCTTCTTTATCTGAATATACCTATGACCGCCGTAACCTGACTCGAGTTTTGCTTGTTCTGTTGTAGGCACGAATACGTAAATTGACATAGTGGGATGTGACTCGCCACGAATTGAGCTGTTTATCAGCACACAACTTTGAAAAATCTAAATCAGTTGGGTATCTAATGCAGGACTCAAGAATAACTAAGCAGGTGCATTGGAATTTCATAAAGGCGGCTCGAGCGCCAGGACGCCATCCAGTATTGAATCTGGCGTTACGTCAGCGAGAACATGCGATACCGCATATAAGTTACTTCCATACTGCAGACTGCGGTCTTCGCCGGGAGCAGTGACAGTAATGCGATGGCGAAAGACTTTCCTGGCGGCTAGGGCTACAATGGAGGGAGTCATAAAATCGATACCATGTAGAGGAGCTAGAAGTCTGTATAGTAAAGTCAATAAGATGAGCCTGACATAAGCTGGTTTGGTGGGGATATGTGTGGACCTACTGTGAAAATCGAGAAAATTGAATGTTTGCATTGGCAGATACACCACTCGCAACAGCGCGACTGAGTCGCAGAAACACAACGATATCCTGGATATATCGGACAACTTCCGCGCTCATGCTCACCGACGCACTTGTTTCTCGAAGTTGATCTATCACCTATAAGTTCATGACCCCGGTATTAGATGGCTATGTTCAGTTCGTAATTCTAAAATCGAAGTGGATTGAAATAAAATCAGACTTACCGACGAACTGACTGTAGCACTCTTCGGCTGTTTGCCATTTGACTTATTATGAATAACAGAGGAAGCAGACATTTGTCCATCTGAAAGCCAGTCATTCTCTTCAAGGTAGGTATACCCAGCCTCCGGGCTGTGGAAATGAGAAATGAACAAATTGTCATTCTACCGCGGCATTAGCTCAAGTAAAGCAGTCAAGATGGGTTTGCACATATAATACTTACCATGTGTGGTTTTAAAGGTGGTTGGAGCTGGTCAAAATCTCGTGCCACAAGAGGGATGAAAAGGAAGTCCTGAGGCGCGCTCAGGGTCCCGGTTTCAGTGATCAACTCCCTTGATCGCATTAACTATCCCACATGTCAGCAATGTCTTTACTGGGTTATTGATCGTGATACACACCTGTAGCATGTGCATTTGTATATCATCACTGACAAAATTGAAGTTTTTGGCGACTACAATATTGACAACGTTACTGCCGATTTTTGAAGATAGAGCTGGTGGTTTGCTGTATTCCCCAAGACTCTTATATGAAGAACGATTGCTTGACTGATTCTATTAGCATAAAAGAATACGAATGATAGCATAGAGTCGAGATTCTAACATACTGTTTCAGCGTTCAACCACGGACGTGATGGGCGGTAATTTGCGCGGGCATCCGGGGTGAGAACGTCATTAAAGATATCGTCAATAGATGTTCCAGATGAACAGTCAAGGATGCAATATGAGTAGTCGAATGTAGTGGAGCCAATCTGTCTTTCATTAGACATTATCTCAACATTCTGGGTGTATTATCGTACTAAAGCGAGTTCTTTGGCAAGATCATTAATACAGTGGCTGGTGGTCTCAATCAAGCAATGTTCGCGGGCAGCAAGGCACAGTAAAAGGGCCACTTCAAGGTCAGATAATTCTCGAGCAATATTAGCAAGATCTGTGTAATCCATGATTTGGAAAGATGATTGATTTGGCCAATGAAGATGCAGCAACTATCAAGAGAAGTCGAGGATTGCGGTGGGGAATCTCCGCCTGAGAATCAAGGCAACAACCCCCGATCAGGTCTAGCCCGTGTGACCCCCGTTCTCCCCGATCAACAGCTCGAACATCCAACAACTGGAGGATTTAGTGCCTCATCTGTGATCATATCCACAGCAGTCATGCCACCCAACCCACTTGCAAACTGGGAAAAGGTTGGAGACAGCTTTTATCGCAAGATCGCCGTGTATGACGCCATCTTCGAGGACGACGTCGAGTTAGAGAACTACATTGTCGCGGGCGCCCCTTACGGAGGAGCTATCGGTAAGCCTCCATTGGAAAATCGAAGGGATGGACTAACGTGGATATAAGCGCTCTACCGCGACGAAAGCAAGCCATTCAGGCTTCGTGATGGACAGGGTTCCCGCTCCACAATTGATATCTATTCATGCTCTGGACAGAAAATCAATCGTATAAACGTTTGTTTGCACTTTATGATTGAATCACGATGAACATACTAACTCATTTCAGTGGGAACAAGCAACTATTCGCGGATTAGGATGGTCTGATAAAGAAGAGCTCCTGGTCGTCTCTGAGGACGGAACAGTGCGACGCTACTTCGGATTGGACGGCGAGTTTACATCCTTTTCTCTCGGAAATGTGAGCTTTATGCCTACCTTCCCTAGCTCTGCTTGGTGCAAACTAACAATGTAACAGGGTGCCGAAGAGTATGGTGTGAGAGCCTGCCAGTTTTGGTCATCAGGCCTCGTTGCACTGCTGTCCAATAACCAGCTAATTGCCGTATCCAAATATGACGAGCCGCGCCCGCGGCTCTTGGCACCTTGTCCGGAAGGCGAGGTATCATCGTGGGCTTTAATTCCACCAGCCCATACACTCTCGCGCTCGGTTGAGGTTCTGTTGGCTGTTGACAAGACTGTCTTTTTAATCGACTCAACTGAAGCAGAAGATAAGATTCTGCAAGATGGTCCATTCAAACACATCAGTGTGTCTCCAACAGGGCGCTTTGTTGCACTTTTCACTGCAGAAGGGAAGTTATGGGTAGTCAGTAATGACTTCCAAAACAAGTTCAGCGAATATGATTCAAAATCTAGGGTTCCACCAAATACCGTGAATTGGTGTGGCGATGATGCTGTCATCCTTGGATGGGAGGATGAAATTCATCTTGTTGGGCCGAACGCAGTCGCATCAAAGTGAGTAGTCTCTTGTATGCAATATCTGTGAGCACAATCTAATCATCCTAGATACTACTATGATGGCCGCGTTCATGTCATACCAGAGTTTGATGGAGTTCGTCTTATAACTAATGACACATGCGAATTTGTGCACAAGGTCGCTAGTACGTTAACGTCCTAAAGAAACAGCTGCACTGTCATTGACAATTTCTAGGTGTTACTGAGGAGATATTCCGTCTTGGGTCGTCTTCTCCCGCTTCCGTGCTACTGGATTCAGTAGACCAGCTGGAGAAAAAGTCGCCGAAGGCTGATGAGAACATTCAGCGCATCCGATCAAGTTTACCATCGGCAGTTGACACTTGCATTAAAGCAGCGGGTCATGAATTTGACGCCTATTGGCAGAAGCGCCTGTTGAAAGCTGCGTCGTTTGGCAAATCCGTCCTCGAGCTTTACAATAGCGATGAGTTCGTTGAGATGACTGAAAAACTACGTGTCCTCAAAGCAATGAGAGACTATAAGATCGGGATGCCATTATCATACGAGCAATACCTGCGCCTTACACCGGAAGGACTCATTGAACGCCTAATCAGCCGCCATGAATACCTGCTTGCAATAAGGATTTCGGAATACCTACAGATTCCCGCAGATAAAATTTATGTCCATTGGGCAAGTCAAAAGGTGAAGGTCTCGACTGTGGATGACGAAGCTGTATGCAAGCTTATTGTCCAGAGACTCGATGGAAAACCGGGAATCTCGTTTGAAGCTATCGCTCAAGCTGCTTATGACGAGGGTCGATCCCACCTGGCTACCCAATTGCTCAATCATGAACCACGGGGCGGCAAGCAAGTTCCTTTGCTTTTGAACATGGAAGAAGATGAGCTTGCTCTTGATAAGGCAATTGAGAGCGGTGATGATGACTTGGTGAACTACGTGCTTCTGCATCTCAAGAGCAAGCTTCCTTTGGCAAGCTTCTTCCGAATGATCAACACTCGCCCAATGGCCTCCGCGCTTGTGGAGACTGCTGCACGAGGCGATGATATCGAGCTACTGAAAGACCTGTTCTACCAAGATGATCGACCCATTGATGGCGCTAATGTGCTCCTGTCAGAAGCATTACGTGATACCGATCTGACACGCCAGACCGAGAAACTTCACCTAGCATCTCGCCTCTTGTCGGATTCCAAGGAACCAACAGTGGTACTAAACCAAAAATTAGTCTCCGAGGCCTCCCAGCTTTTGAAAGCTCAAGACGCATTGGATAAAGACTTGGCGGACCACAACGAGTTCCTTGGTCTTAGTCTCAACGAGACGGTGTACAGGCTTGTCAGAGGTGGTTACGGTAAAAGAGCACACAAGATGCAAAGTGAATTCAAAATGCCCGAAAAAACATTTTGGTGGTTGAGACTGAGAGCTTTGGTGGCCAAACGTGACTGGGGCGAACTGGAGGAAATCACTAAACTCAAGAAATCCCCAATCGGATGGGAGGTAAGACAGTGGAAGGTCCTAAACTACTGGAACAGATGCTCACACAAGACAGCCTTTTTACAATGAGATTTTGGGTGCTGGAAACACAAAACTTGCTTCTGGATTTGTGCCCAAGTGCACCCAGTTGTCCCCTGCTGAGAGGATCGAGATGTGGGTGAAGTGCGGTATGATCGTGAAGGCCGGAGAAGAGGCACAAAAGACTAAAGACCTTAACACCCTGGAACTCCTCCGCACTAAAGCATCTGGCCCCGCAGCCACCGAAATCGAGCGCATGATCAACCAACTAAGGCCAAGAAAATGAGCCCATTAACGTTCAACATGTATCACAGGCCCGCTCTAGGATTGTTCAGGTGATCTCATCGGCTTCATCGATAGTCGCAGTCTCGTCCGTTGCGGGATTGGCGCCTTCAATTTCGATTGAGGCTTCGGTTGGGATTTGGAACACGTTATTTGCGACAGGAATCCCGGACGGCACAGAATCTTCGGCCATCGCATCATCATCCTCGTCATCCTCGTCGTCATCTTGTCGAAGAGCGTCGAACGCCAAGGTCTTGCGGTTGGTATCTTCCCAATCAGCCTAATTCAATGTGAGCAACTGTACGAACGAAATGACTATTTCTGCTTTCATACTCTGCGAGAGTTGACGGCCTTGCCGCGAGCCAGACTCTTAGCCTTTTTGATTTCCAATTGATCCATCACGGCCTCGGCTCGGTCCATTCCCTTTTGTTGCCTTAAGCGCTGGGCCCTTGAAATCTTCTCATTTTTATTTTTCTTTTTCTGGATACCAGCATTGGCACGGTCAGCCAGAACCGAAGGCCTTGTTGTGGTAGGAGATTCCGCTCGGGGCAGTGAAGTCACCGACTTATCAAGGTCGAGACTTGGGGACGCTGCTCTCCGTGCTGCGCGGGAACGCTGGGACTGGTCTGTTCAAATATTAGCTCAAATATCAATGTATACGGGATTTGTAGTCAACTTACTTTTGCTCTTCGCCATGGTTGTTGTTTGGAAGAATTATCAATCTCGTGGGGTGGAATCGCTATCGATAAAAAAAAGTTTACGGTAGACGAGGACGACTAGATGTGCACTTTTCTGCGCAAACATGTATACCTTCATGTCCTATTCCGCACGTACCTTAACACTCACACATTCTCTATCAACCCATGCTACTGCTCATGCTGCCAGATTTCTCTTGCCACATATATCCCTCTGGATTTATTGACAATGAACACCCGCAACGGGCGCTCTGAGATCTTTTCCAACTGGCTAGGTCAACACGCAAGCCGCAGTCATTATGAAACCGCCTTCACGACTTTACAAAACAATCAAGCGCTAGCATACATATTTATTGCTTTTATTTCAATTTCTATCTTTCTCGGTTACCTCGGATTTATTCCCATATCACTATTCCACCTCCCCTGGGATCTTCTCGTCTATTTTACGCCCTCTCGAATCGTTATCGCTTTGGACCCTCGCATATCGACCTCCGACCCCAACTCCCTAGCCTCGTCACCTTTGACCTTCCGTGATAAAAGTGACGCCATGAAACGGATTCTTGGCTTAGATAACAACGTCAACTTCCCCTTTTTCTCCCGGTCAACATCGCTCTCTATTTTCGGAAATGCGCTGTTGGGCAACACCAAGGACGTCGCACCCCCGGGGCTCGGAAACTGGAACAACTCGTGTTTCCAGAACAGTATTATACAGGGACTGGCTTCTTTGAAATATCTCACTGAGTTCCTGGGACACAACGTGGACAACCTCTCGGGCAAGGCTTCTATCTCGACGCACAAGGCACTACTAGACCTCATCGACCGTCTAAACAGCGCCTCCAAAAGCGGAACCAAGCTGTGGATCTCTGGGCCTCTGAAGTCTATGAGTAGCTGGCAACAGCAAGATGCGCAAGAGTATTTTTCCAAGTTGCTTGATCAAATTGACCATGAGGCTGAGGTGTGCTCACGTGGAGAGACTTTGAACATGGGATTGAAGATTACAGGACCTGATGAGAACATATTTCGAGACAGCGATTGTGAAGACTCGACGGCGCCTTGGGAACCCGAATCGCTCCCATCAACAGATAAGCTTTATCTTGATGGAGTTTCATCTTGCAATCCTCTCGAAGGCTTACTTGCTCAACGGGTTGGGTGCATGGAATGTGGATGGACCGAAGGGCTCTCGCTGATACCTTTCAATTGTCTCACTGTTCCTCTGGGCAAAAGATCTTCGTACGATGTTCGCGAATGCCTGGACCAATATATGACACTTGAGCCTATTGAAGGCGTGGAATGCGCCAAATGCACGCTGTTGCATCGGCAAGAGCAGCTCATCAACTTGATCAGTGGGTTTGAAGTCGATGAGAGTCCGTCAGACAGCTCCGACGAACCTCGGCCATTTGATGCTGTGAAACAGTCAGCCTACTCGCGCTTAGAGGCTGTGAAGGCGGCTTTAGACGGCAACGACTTCAGCGAAACAACATTAGCAAACAAGTGCCACATCAACTCAAAGAACCGGGTCTCAACCACGAAATCTCGACAAGCCGTCATTGCGCGGGCTCCCCGCTGTCTTGCTATCCATATCAACCGTAGTGTCTTCGATGAGATGACTGGGACATTGGAGAAGAATCTCGCCGCAGTCGCGTTTCCTCAAATGATCGATCTGAACAATTGGTGTCTTGGCACCCGATCTCTCAGCAAATCTGGCGACGATACTGAGCAATGGGAAACAAACCCTTCGCGATCCATGCTTCCGCAGCCTGGCGAAACAATTCAAGTCCCCAGCAGACAATATCAATTACGCGCAATCATCACCCATTACGGCCGACATGAGAATGGACACTATATCTGCTATCGCAAGTATCCGACATCGGAATTCACAGCTCCTGCACCGGACGAGATCCTTCAAGCTGAGGGTGATAAGGATAAGCCCGAGCGTTGGTGGCGCCTCAGCGATGATGACGTGCAGATGGTGAGTGAAGCTCATGTGATGACCCAAGGAGGTGCATTCATGCTGTTCTACGAAGCTGTGGATGATTCGGTCTCGCCGTGTTCGACTCCATCTGCAACTCCAGAACATGACCTATACGACGGGTATGCAGAGTCTACTCAGTTCGGAAGCGTAGAACCAAAGATCATTTCTACTCCATCTACTGTCACCGACTTTGAATCTGCCACTTCTCGTGAAACCAGTATCTCGTTGCCGATGGACGACCTCGTTCCTGTCGAACCGCCTTTGAAGACTCCGAACGTAACTGACTTTGGTGTTGAATATAATGATGAACTGGGCTCACCCTCTACCATCATTACATGATCAGCTCTTCTTGCATACGTTTTTCTCTTTTTGTTTTTCTTTGCCCGCATAGCCGTACCCTGTGGCCGGCTACTGCATTATCATGATACCCGATACCACGTGCCATTTAAGGCGTTGATTTGAGCTCCACTGTGTTTGGGAGTAGTTTGTGTAAATTAATGTACTATCATGGGGGTTTCTACGCAAGAAGAAGTGACTTCTTGGGACATGCATTTAATTGGCTTTAGCCAGACTGTAATTTCGTTGGCCCATTCATCGTAGATTGCTTCCGTCTCCTAGAAACTCAGTCAACACCGATAGCGCTCTTTGATGATGCAGCTTCCAGGAATAATGATCCCCGCATTTAGACACGAGCACCTTGTGAAAGGCGACCTAGCACGGGTCCCAAATCACCTAATCAAGTACCTTGGGGCCACCATAGCATAAAACTACATGAATAGCCCTTTCCTTGCAAAATTATATTTATAATTTCTTTTTACATTCCCAGCGAGTTCTACTGGCAATCTAGCAATTGTCACGCAAACCTCTGCTTCTTTCTCAGACGTTGGATATCGTTGGGAGTTGCACCCGAGTCTGTATAGATACTGAAGGTCCCCCGGGTCCTCACTTCCTATCTGATCGTCATAGGGTATGATATTGCCCCTAATACTTGATAAAGCTGGTCATTCCTATTCTAATTCATCAGAAGTATCTTATATCATCTTCAATAATGTCTATCAGCAAACCCTCGCAGCCACATGGCATATTCCTCATCAATGAGCTACTTGAGAACATTCTTCTACATACAGAGATGAGGACTCTTTTAACATCTGCTCAGCGCGTATCTCACATTTGGAACACCACGATCAGAACATCAGTCAGACTCCAAGAGTCTCTCTTCTTTAGCCCCTCCAAATTCGAGATCTCGGATCCCTCACAGCGCCTTCGCAATCCACTCCTAGAAGACATCCTCTGGGCTCAATTCTTTCTCAAGCAACAACAAACCTCAGAGTCGAGAATTGCCGATGTAAGCAGATTTCCGCTACGGGAACCGGAGCGTCGCAAGCTCAAGGTTTACCTGCGAAAAGACGCCAGTTGGCAACGAATGTTGCTGCAACAACCACCGACCTCGTCAATCGGAGTCCTTGAAATCATCAAAAGATCAGACTCAGAATTCACCAAGTTATCTGTCAGCCCAAATGACTTCCTGCGAATGGGCCACATCTTGACCCTCCTCGAAGGAGGCAGCACGCTAGTTCCAACCCGCAACAAATGGGTACTATGGAGCGGACGATCCCGTATCAGAATGCCACTGAACTTTGAATGCTGGACGCCCAAATGGGTCTATGAACCATATACCCTGCAGCCAGTCCAGGAATGGATACCGGATAATATAGACTGGGATAGTCTCCGGTTGGAGGTGGCATCGGTGTATTTGAATGATTTTGATTGTGGTGTGGTCATTGTATCTGAACGGAGACAGATGCTTTTCCAGGGCGAGGATCGAGTTCACAAGGAGAGCAAACTTGATCGTCGGCTAGAGAAAGCCTTTGGAGAATGTCAGGTGGAGGTTGGAAGGAAGCATATAAATCACTCTTGGGTTCCTATCAAAGGTGTTGGCGCTGATCGGCGATGGGTCCTTAGACCATGTTCTGCCACGCCTCTTGTTCCAATGCTGAGTGCCTCACCTGAGAGTTCGGGTTCGTCTTCTGTTTCTTCATTTTCATTGTCTTTCTAGAAGTTCACGCTTGAGGGCTCTACCGGAATGGTGTGTATTTTCAGCTCTTTCAGACAGGATTTGATTGAAACACCGTCAATTATTGCATTGATTTCAACATCAAAAGAACATTAAGTCGAGCCTTGCTAAGATCCACTCGGCATTATCCCTAGTCAAGAATGCTAGAATCGATGCCGAGATAGATGTCACTTCCGAACTACTTATGTTCACTGGCATGCCGGGGTTGTCAGTTTACCAGTATCGCTTTCCATATATATACATAGATCTCAATAACTACTTTCGGAAATGGCGACCTTCTCAGTGTTGTAATTTATTTTCTTTGCTTTTTTTTCTCACTGATTACATCTACCTTGTATACAACTTGAGTTACTATTTCAGATCCGCCGGCATGAATACAGAAAGCAGTTTCTCTAATAGATTTCTATGGCAACGCCCTGGATGAGCTCGGTCCTGACACCAAAGCAAGTGGTGACTGCTGTTTTGCAAGAAGCAAACAACAAGAAAGCTCTTTGCCTCAAAATGCGGTGGAAGGTTGAGTTCCGCGGCAAAACAATCGTCCTTCGAGATCTGTTTGACCAGTTCAAGAACAATTTGCGCCTGGTCAAAAGATGGAGATGTCGACGGCTTTGAAGCCTTTCTGGAGCAGGATCCGGACCTTTCTATTCCTTCCGATTTTCCGTCAACGTTGATTGAGATGCTACAGAATCGGGTAGGAGAGAAATGCATGCAGTCACTGGTCGAAGTGCTCCTCCGATACGGTAAGGTCAATTTCACACCCGAATATCGAAGGGACATCGACGAACTATTACAGCTTCAGTCGGAGAGTGACCTCAATCGCCTTCTCTTGGGCCTTGAGCATGAGAGTCAGGGCTGATGCATTAATCAAGAAATAAGGGGTCATCTTCCTGCATCTAGGACCAAAGTTTGTCAAACCAGCCAAGCACTTTACACACTCAACAACAATTCAGATGTAAGACGAAGCAGAGCAGACAAAAAATGCGAAGATATACAACAATGAGGATTCGCTAGTAGTTAACCTACGCTAGCGCCAACTACTAATTTATTTGAGCCTAGATTATGGCCGCGGGGGTATGTCACCTTTCCCCGACTTATATCACAAAGACAAAAAGATCGTAAAATGTAGGATATAGTTCTAGTTTAAAATACTAGACAGAATGTATACGACAAAGTGTATGCGACTGAGTTGAATATGTTACTATTTTAAATATATATATGTCAGGTCTCTAGGTGAGTATGGGCCAGATTATTAAATCACCTAAGTATAACTATACCTTTTAACGGACTACTTACGACTATTGGGAAGCTTCTCATAGTCTTCATAATATTAAAATTTAATATCCACTACGAAGCAACTATGCACTTCTGCATAACCATCTTTGTAGGCTTTTATCAATTATAGATTTATCCGCGTAGCTAGGCTTGGCTTAAGATAGCGTCTGCCCCACTTCTATTCAAGAAATGAAGTGTTGCAAAATTGCTAGCTTTGTCGGCACAAAAGAGGGCAGGTAGGATAGCGAGATACGAAGTTAGCCACCTGGGCACTCTGTCGACACCTCCAAGTCAAACAATTTCGGTCGCAAAGCCCAACAGCCCAAATTCAGGTGCATATTTGAAAGAGTCAAATTGGAAGGAAACACAATTCACCGCCAGTCCATCCATCCCATAACCAGGCAACGAACCCATGTCACTTTAGCGCGACCAGGATTACGACCACGGGATAGCACTATCAACGACCCTGTTCGGATATTGTCCATCCTCACTCGGTCAGGCATACAATGCTGGCAGCCTGTACGACCAGGATGTTGCTTTTTGCACGCTCAAATTGACCGTAGCATCTAGACGCGCAGAGCGCGGATGTCAGTACCCAGCGCAGATTGAAACGTCGATGCGCCCGAAGCATTCATGCCCGGCATTGTACAGGAACCTCGACAGGACAAAACAATTGCTGTCTAGGCCGAAGTAGGGAAGTCGAAGAATTTCAGCGAAGACGCATCTATAAGGATAACACGGCTTCACGGCCTACCGCAGTTCCCCTTCGGCTTTACACATGTGCGGTGTGTCGAAACGTTCTCGAAAACGACCGAAAGTATATTGGTGAGCGTTCATGAAACGGAGATTACCACCTCCTGATTTGGTTGGGGTTTGTTCCGTGGGAGTTTCCTAAAACGTGTCCGCCCCCCACGGAAAAGCGACCGTGGCGACCGCATATTACCCGATCGCAAATATCGGTCAAGTTTACAGGTAAGTAGGTACAATGTAAGTTCTGATTCAGATAAGATACTTTGATTGGAGGCAGCAGAAGAGATGAAGGCTGCAATTCGTATCCAATGGCGACGGCTGCTGTAGCGGTCTCAGAGATGGGCTGTCTGATCTCACAACCATCACAATTGTGGGCGTTGGTCTAGATGATGAGCTTACGACTGCTATCCGTGCGGATCTAGCCCATATGAGCACAGTCCCTATGAATCAGGGGGCGTTTGATTTGTCTGGGATATGATGAAAGTTGACACTTAAGCACGACTCATGGACACGTCTCGGGTACACCGTCAACCCGCCACTGCCATCACCCTTGTCGATCGATGCAGTCGAAACCGCGGAAGGTGTCCCGGCAGGATCTTGGGTTACTCACACTGCAAGTCTCCATATTAACGTACAGAATGTGCTATCTCACATTCTCCAAAATCTCCGCTCACGGAATGTGGATCGAAACCCCATGGGGTGGATATGTATTTCCATGGTTCAGTAACATCTTATCTTTAGCGCCCGCAGCGTCAACCCTGGATGAGCTGCATCTTATCGAGAATTCGTGCAGCTGTGGCAAACTTGATAAAAGTACCAGGAAATGGAATTGGTGGCCACTATTGAGTCGGTGTAGGTGTTGAAACTTGATTCTGTCATATTAATCTCACCTTCATTTACAGAGGCTAGATCTCGGCCCGAGTTGGTATGTACCCCGGAGATTGAAATATGCCGTACCTCATAGACAGTGTAGATTCAATATCCAACCTCTTTTCTTCAGAAGTGCTATTCATTGAATGTCTGTAAGAGCAGACCCGACCGTCTGTGTTGTAAATTTAGTTCAGAGATCTTGCATATGAACTGCATATGAGGTGCATGATATAAGCTGCAGGGAAACCCGGGAAAGGCTGGAAGGGGCCGGTGTGGATCCGAGCTCCAACGCACATTTTTTTTTTTTACAAAGGGGCTAGAGCTTGCCACATTCAATGAAGAACTTCAACCCTGCATTGGATCCCACAATAACAAATATGTACATGCAATTGTATTTGGTCGTTGACCTAAGCTGAGTTTCGCAAAGCTGCATGAAGACAAAACATAACCGAGGTAAAGCCGGTAGGCCAAACTCTCGCTTTCGGTCTATGAAACAGAACTTTTGTGCCCGATCTACTCCGTGCTCCGTATTCATCGGGAGATTCACAAGCTTCTGTTGAATCAAATCAATATAGGAGCTCCAGCACCCCAGTCCCCCGGTGCGGAACCATCGGTCTCCACCACACATCCCAGGGGAGAGGTAACAGGGCACGCATTGAAGATCAACGGAGGCACCGGGAGCCTGGAAAGGGGGAAAGATCTGAACGTGACGCGCGATATCGATAGTAAACCGCGGCCCCATTCTCCTCACACACTTGAACTTTTTCAATATGACTTCATTGCGGGTGGAGTACGGAGGAGCCGGTAGACGAAAGGCGTTGTACAGCGGAGCTGTCACGTCGATCTGAATTTGATTTCCTGGGTCGTCGACCCCCACCTGACCCCTTGCTATGGGTTTTTTCTCAGCTTCCCCGGCGGGCCGGGACGCGGAAGCATCAAATTATGGGGTAGGAGGCGCGGGGGATTTGTATTTCACATTCCGCTGGCGCTGTCGGGGAATTTGATATATACATTTACCAAAGTACGGGGTACTCTTGCGGTCAATCGAAAGGTATACATCGAAAGGTCTGTTTGGATATGACGAGTATAACGGGAACGACGATCAAGCGCCCGAACGGGGAGTATACAAATTGGTCGTCGGGACACCCAGGATGATGGATTGATCCACTTGGACCGGGGAAGACCGTCACATTCTTCCCCGTAGGCACTAGACTTGCATTAAGCAAGTCATCTGGTGCATCAGAAAGATCATAAAGTCATAAATTGCTGACAGATTCAGCGGAAAGGGGCCTGATGTTCCGGACAGATCTCGAAAATTAGTACAGTTGATAGATGGGAAATGTCTTTGTTTTAAGTGGTCTAGACTTGAATCTAGACTCAATAATCAATTTTTATCAAATTATTAATTTTGGAACAAAGGGGAATCCACTAGAGCCTCGGTGTGACTGTGGGGTGGCCTGTGATTTGTGCGAAAATGAGACGGTCTTTTCTCGGGAGGATGTAATTAAACTTGCGAACTAGAATTATAAGGAAGTATACGGAGTCGCGGAGTACCGCGTAAGAACGGTAGTATCTGACGGCAAATTAAAAAATGCCGAGGAACTGCATTTACCCGCTTGAGACGGGCAATCAGGGATGAGTTCCGAGGTAGCGGTAACCGTTTCGAATCCTTTGGCCGTTCTCTTTAGATTGCGGACTAAAGGCTTCTAGATTGGAAAATCGAATCCTCCACGGACTTTCGACTTGGCCCGAGGTGGAGACACGGGGAAATTCCTTGCCTGTTGTAGTTTTAAAAGAAGACGAGAGTTCGTTCTCCCGTGGGGGTCTTCTCTTCAACTTTGCACAAATACTTTTTTCAGTGTTGACGTGTTGAATCACCTGTGACCGCCAAAACGCCAACAAACTTGATTCCTCAACTTCAGGCATTCAAAGATTCTGTTTGGGTGCATCGATTAGGGCTGCAAAATTCAAGTTAGGCCTGCATCACCCGCGACTCTTTTTGTTTTTTCCACGAACGAAGCGGTGAATCCGAGGCATGATCATTGGAGAATTATCATTGGAACTAGGAGATACTCCAAACAATCCGATTTTGAGATCAGAGATCTTTCCAAGATTGGGCAGCCCTTTCGGGGAAACCTTTCCTCTCGCAAGGGATGCAAATCTAGCTGATATCAGATACTGCAACACAAATATCTGCTAAACCGGGGATCCGATATTTCCCCCGTGTGTCAGAACTGCGAAAAATAAAATAAAGAAATTCCATTTTTGGAATTTTCTTATTTATTTATTTTTGTTTGCATTGGGTCGATCAGTTCCAAGGTTCCTAAGATCGACAGCCCTTTGTTTGCCGGAAACCCCCTTCCGCCTGATTTATTCTTTTTATTCTTTTATTCTTTTATCCTTTTTTTATTTTTGGACTTCCCTTTTTGGATTTATTCTTTATTTCTTTTTCCTTTTTTGGGCATTTGATTTTCGAGCAAGGGTATCGGGAGGTCTAGAAGTCTTTCCCCGGCTTTGATCTTTGATATCTATTTGGGCCCTTTTTCATTGATAAACACCCACCCTCGACTCTTCTTCCTCATTTCATCTTTCACCTTCCACACTGTCGTCTCACTCACCTACTGGGCCCTGGTACTTCCAACCCTCTTCAACAATTACTCAACATATCCGTCACCATGATTCCTATTCAGTCACGTCTACACGAGATGTCGCTCCCCAAGGCGGCAGCTCCTCTCGCCAGCACAGATCCAGCACAACCCACCTTTGCCTGGAGTGGCAGCGCCTCTTCTTCCATGTCAAGTCCTTTCGCTCCTCCACCAACTCCCACCGACTCTCTCCTCGACATCAACCCACGCAAATCCTCTTTCTCAAGTGAGATGGGGGCAGCATATGCCTTCCCCTCCTGGCCTAACCGTCCCTCCCTTTCAAGCAACGACTCCACCGACTCATGTGCCAGCGCCTTCCTCTCTGATGACGACCTCCTATGGATGCCGGAAAACTCCGGCGCCGAGAAAGAAGTGGAGGAAGCCATCAACCAGGACGCCGGTGCCATCTGCTCGGTAACCATGGAACAGCAACTTCAGCGCATGCGAATTATCGCAGAACAACAAGATCGGGCCAATTTCCTCGCCAAAGTTGAGGCCCACGCCCGGGCAACCCAAGCCCTGCGTTCAGCAAAGCAGAGCATTGTGACAGAGCGAGAGACATTGAAGCGCAAGAAGCGCCGAGTCGTGCCCACTCCCAAACGACGTGCTCACTCGGCATCCAAGGTGCTCAGTCAATAAGCTCACCGGTGATGCCCGGTGCAGCGCAGGCGCTCTCCGAATAACGCCACAATTCTCTTCGCAATCATGTCATTATCTCGCCTTATCTTTTAATTTCACCCCCGCATCTCCCCGGTGTGCAGAGACCCACACCAAAGTGCCTAGTCTCTATTTTTCCCGTTCTTTTCTCATCAACCGTGATACCCGCGAGATCGCATCATCTCAGACTTACAACACTGGGCGCCCCAATCCGCGCAACACAAGATACCATCATCGTCAGCCACATCTAAGCTTTACCGGGTGGTATTTCGTGGATGCGACCATACGGGCCGACATCGTCCGGACGGGATCCATCCATGGAACGGTGTCCCCGCGCAGATTACCTAATATTTCGCTGTCGGCGCTTCTTGAAATCCCACTGTCACCTTTGACCTCGTCACCTCCATCCTTCGCACACACCGCTGGTTCATCTAGCTCTCTGACTCATTTTTCAACTTTCTCATTTGTTTTTTTTTGTTTTTTTTTGTTTCCTTGCAGCGAATCTGTTATTCCCCCCATCCCATAGGGATCATCACGTTCTTACATGGATGGTGTTGCAGCGCCCTGATTCAGTCATCATTTGACCTTTTTTCTTGCCCACCCTCAGGCTTGCATTCATGAGGACCCGGTGTTTCTTGTTTTTTTTTTTTTTTGCTTCTTAGTTTTTCATGAATCTGTTTTTCCAGCGCAGCGTCTTTGTTCTGATACCCCGTCTTGTATACCCCCACCATTTGTTTTCATTATCTTTGGCGCTTTGTCATTTTTTGCAATTTCCCACAGCCCTCCATCTCTGTGGTCTGTTCTCGGAATATTGCCGCCACGTGCCATATCACGTTTGTCAATAGCCGTTCGTATATTAGGTAGCCCGAACTAAGCACATTGACCATATCCCGAAACAAGAATATCCTTCTAAATCATGAAACTAACAATCTAAAATAACATAAGAACAATAATCTTATTCACATTCCTAAGTCCAACTATACATCTACCTTCCTCGTACTCTACCCCAGCCAAGTCCCTGCCACGTTGCTATAGAGTAAGCATTTGCCCAAAAACCACACCCTGAAAATAGAACAATCAGTCGATCGTCAGCCCTGCCCGCCTCGTGTTCCCCACTTGAGTAACCGCCTCCCTCACCCTCGCGTACAGCCCGGAACTCCGAAACACTGAGGCTGCAAGAGCTTATTGCTGTCTATGTATGACACGCGGCCCTGTCGCTGAAATGCAACAGTGAGATCGAGGGTGCCGCATCTTAGTAATCGGCGATGAGGCGAAGTTGCTGATCATCGTAGAAATGGGTGTATATGTACTTCAGTATTTGACCAGAGCGCATCGGAGAATATCGTGAAGTTACGGTTGGGATTGTTGTTAGGCTGCCTCGGCCAGATTTGGCATATCCCCAGGTCGCCTGATTACAACGTCCCCGACTTGTTGGCTTCTGGGCGGGACTAGTCAGCTGTAATTAATAAGAAATGTATACTTGGAGTCGGTACTAGGTATAGAGGCTTAAATTGTGCTGATATGGTACATGTTGCGTTGATGGAATTTACCGCCTCATTCCTTGTGTATCACACGTGATAAGTTCTATGCTATAACTGGTGTTTCAGAGAGCCCCGTTACCCACTAATAGTTGCCTCATTATTAACGGTACAATCTCCTTTTGTCACCGTTCTTGGTTCTTCCCTTCTGCATTTACGCTATTTGTCATGGATGTGTTGCACCAACCCAACCCAAAGGGCGAAGTCGATATCAAGTAGTCTGGGCAATCACATTTTATGGGCTTAGTCGGGCACATGCTTCAACTCTATGCTGGTTGTTACCAACTGGAAAGAATCCCGGTAGACTTCACATTCCAGTTAGCAGATGATATGCGTGCCTATCGGAGCAACTTCCGTCTAGAACAATATCATCTGATAATTATTCGATGTTGAATTCCCAGCAACCATGCCGGCTTGAAATGATGTCATTTTGATAGGATGGAATGTAGCATGTGTTAGTGAAATTATATACTTTGATAGGTAGAGTCTCACTGCCCACAAATCAGAGGAAGTTAAGGTATCATGATAGAACTTAACCCGGACTTAAGACTTATGTACTTGATTTCCGCTGACACTTCTTGGCTTTCCCTTTCCCTTTTAGCACTTAGGCCTTGCCGCTTTTTGCTCACTGAGTATAACCGAGCACGTATGCGGAAATGTAGAGAGTTCCATATACTCAGTTCATACCATACATTTCATACAGTCAGACTTCTGTCATCTTACATATAGACCGAGGAACTTAGCTAGAGTTAGTAACCATGCTAATTACCTGGCTAGGAAACCACACTTCTAATTAAAACTAAGGCAGAGGAGGGCGCAGAGATAAAGATAGAGAGGAGAGAGTGAGAAAGGAAGAAGTAGGAAATGGAGGATGCACTCCATGGCAGTCATTATGTGTTATTTTTTATGTATGGGTATGGGTTTATGGGTTTACGGGTTATAGGAATGGGCTGATTCCACACTCTTTATGATTAGCATCTATCTGTATACTCTCTACGATCCCACTTGGCGTTTAGCTTCGAGTTCTTGCGTCAATTGGATGAAGCGCTTGTATAGTCATACGTAACTAGTTAGACTGCAACAGGTTAATTGAACTTTGATTGATAACTCGATCTGTCATAAAGCAAGAAAGAACGAGGGAACCTGTGATACTATCTCTAAGCAAAATGTCTCTGTCGAATTTATTGAAAATTTGCGATGATCCCCCTAATTGGTTCAAGTAATCGCTCACGGTGTGCCAATCCACTGGAGTTATACCATTTATCGGAAAGAAGGTCCATCAATCCTAGCCATAAGAGCTGCCAGTCCACTGAATCAGTCTCTAGCAAATCCACCTCGAAGAACAAATCACGTTTAGATTGTAATCGGCTTCCCCAAAATGCATCTGGTAAATTTAATGCAAACACGGATAACATGTTACGCATAGTCTGCACATCGGATTGAGTGTAGATAATAGGGCAAATGATTTCCGCTGCCAGAAGGGAGATTTCGAGTGGAAGTCTATTAAGATAGGAGCTTTTGCGTTTTCCAACCGTATTTTGAGCAAGTTGGATCCATGGATTAACAAAGATATCACAGCCGCGACAGTAGCTCTCACATCTCACGTATGGAACCTCGTCGAGCTGGGCACGAAATATGGTATCTAGGTCAGTAACACCCCATCCTTTCTGGGTTTGCCAATACTGCCTCGCGGCCTGAATAACTTGACCAAGTGTCTTCTCGATCAAATCTTTCCCTACCAGATGGCCAAGGATCTCCCAACAATAATAGTGAAACACATATCCCATATTTTTGTGTTTAAAAAGACTTGGCTGCATCCAGTAACCTTCTGGATGGAAATTTGTGAATAACGTATCATCATACTGTGGTATCGCCTCTCGTCCAGAAATTCGCGCGGTGTTTTTATCTCTTGGAAGCTGGTACGGCTGACCACCGAGACGTGAAACTGGGCCAATTCCCGTGAGATCAAATTTTGAGGAAAAAGCATATCTGACAGCTTGAATTTACTTTTAGCTTCAAATTTCAATATTTATGAGAGTGTCAATTTACCTCCTCGCTGATAGCAAGATGATAACCAAGGAAATTTAGAGAAAATTTTATTCTCCAATTCGGTCGATGGCACGAGAATATGCTCAGGAATCGGGGATTTGCGATGGATTTCCCATTGAGACTCCTTAAGCATATCTAGGTGATCCCAGCTTATTGTTCCCCCGTCAGGCAAAATGTATACACCACAAAGTAGGCATGTTTCTGCATAATTACAAGGCTCATCGGAATTTGAGGGTTGAAGTAAGTAGCCGGTACTTCTCGCACAATCCTGACGAAAACCATGAGGTCGGATTCCACCCAGGCAGCGTACACTCTGAAGTATTTGACGTCCCCAAACAGTAGGTAGATTTACTACCAGTGCCAACAGATGTGATACTTCCAACACATTTGAAGGTATGAAAGCAGTGGTGAGTGGGATCACCGAAGTTGTGGTCATTGCGAGGCCATGCGACTGCACATACTGAGTAATCATGAGAGCAGAAATTAGTTATAGGACAAATCGGATCTGTAAATCCCACAGGGAAAGTATTTGGGGGCCGGGCAGAGATTAAGCCTCAGCCCCCTTGGGGGCTGTACAGGTACTCAAACTCCTATAAAGAGTTAGTCGCACTGCAATTCACCTTATTCCAAATCCCCCGGCGACCTCCAGGTTTCAAAGGTTTCTGAGGAAATTATTTTCTGTTTGTGAAGACAGCCGTCCCCATTCCTAGCCAAGTGGTACGAATAATAGGGACCTGGAGAAATCCATTTGGCAGGGGAATCGGGGAGGTACACACCATAAAAGTATCCGTAGACCTGTTCCTTGATGTACCTGCTTTCGGGTCTTCCAAAGCGGTTGAAAAGCTATACTGCGCTTGAAGATCGCGTAAATGGTGCGATAATGAATTTGGCAGGCATGGACTGGGAAATAAGATGTGTGTGGTTCATGTGGTTTTCGGTGTTCATTCGTGAAAGATGACCTGTAAGTTTTGTCCAAGGCTTTACAGGGTAGTCTATAGTACTCTATTTGCCAAATGTATTTACATATGACTAAAATCTCCAGACTATCGCACCTGATTGATAATCTCACCAACACACCACTTCTCGACTGTGTTCTTCAACGCAGCCTGTAGGTTTTGCAATGTCCTTTCAGAATACCAGGCCAGGTGAGGTGTCAACACCAAATTCAATCCCGCTGCCTCTGGGCTTAACAACGGAGAATCGCCTCTGCCAGCAGGTTCTGTGGCATAAACATCTGTGGCCGCGCCTGAAATTGCTCCTCCCTTGAGAGCTTCAACCAGGGCTTGCTCGTCGACAATTCCACCTCTTGCGACATTGACCAACACAGCATGGGGAGACATGATCTGGAATTCCGCAGTAGAGATCATGTTCAGCGTCTCAGCGCTTCGCGGCAAGCACAAAACAGCCACGGTCGCCTTTTTCAAGCCATCTTCAAACAGAACTCGACCCGCTCGAGGAGATACACCCTTACGCTCAGCAATAATCACGTTCATCCCAAGGCCCTTTGCCATGACCTCGATGCGCTTGCCTAGCGATCCGTACCCAACAATACACAAGGTCTCATCACTACATAGCAACGGGGCTTTTCCATCAGGCGCACGAACCCGACTGAGCAATGAGCCATTTGTCTTCCACTCAGTATCAAGTGACAAGTCCGTAGGAACTGCAACAGTGGCATTATGAAGCTCGATGAACTTCCGTCGAGTGGCAAAGTAAAGTCCAATGGCATGTTCACTGACACTGTCAATATTAGAGCCGGGACAGTTGCATACGGTGATTCCTCGCGCGGACGCAGCTGCTATATCGACGCAGTCTATGCCAGTCGCCATGATTGCTATAAGGCGGAGGTTTGGGGTGACTTCAGCGCTTAGGGTCTCTGCTGACAGGCGCGTCGTTGTGGTCACGATGATTGTGGCATCTTTGACGCGGCTGTGCAGATCAGCGGGATCGGTCCATCGGTGCACTGCCCGAGTATGCGGCCCTGGTAGATCGAATTCGGGGATTGGGCAGTGCACAGCCTCAATGGCGACGATGTGGTGGGTGATGTTCTCAGCCATGGTCATGAGGGAAAACAGAAGATGTGTTCGAAGATATTCAAACTTTGATATCTCCCAAGTCCGGCGATTGGAGACTTGCCGATGTGGGTCCGAGAGGCCGACGTGTCGCCGGTAGGGCGTCGGACTATCCGAGAACGTGAATTTTCGAAACCCTTAACATACATATAAAGTTATTTGGGCATCAGATGCGCCGGAATCGGACCGTTGCTCCCCTGGTTTTATACTCAGACCGATGATAGCCGCCGATGCTTAGTAATATCGAACTCTCCTATAGTCCCCACTTAGAAGTCCTTTATACAAATTCAAATGCTCTTATGGATACTATGCTTGAAAGCTTTTATTTCACAATCAATCACCACCATGTCCGGACAAAAGTCACCATATGGTACGCAAGTTTAGAATAACACAAAGTTGATGCGCTGACTCTTCTCTAGTCACCCTCGATGTATTCACATCAGAGAGGTATACTTCTCTTCATCAGCCAAATACAAATGACTCAATTGTAGCTAATTAGAATATATTGCTAATTAAAATAGATTCAAGGGCAACCCTGTCGCCATTGTGAAGCTCGGCGATATCAAGTTGTCACAGGAACAAAAGCAACAAATCGCCAAAGAATTCAACTTCTCAGAGACAGTCTTCTTGCATCCCACCACAGATGGAAATCCTCAGGTAGACATATTCACACCTGTCAACGAGATGGAGTTCGCCGGCCATCCCATAATTGGCGCTGGCCACTTTCTCTTCCGCCAAATAATGGCCGACGCTCCCACTCGCTCGAACAACCTCACTGTAATGACCAAAGCCGGACCCGTTCCGATATCATATGATCCAGCCAACGAGGTTGTCTCTGCTGAGGTCCCCCACAATATTCATATCCACCAGCAGGGTGCGACACTAAGTCACATCCTTCCTGTTCAAGCAAGCCTGGTGGCCTCGGATCTTCAGGGCTTGAAAAAGACATCACCAGTAGTTTCCGTGGTCAAAGGTGTCACATATGCTCTGGTGGATCTGACTGAAAGACCAGATCTCTTCGCTAATATTGTGCCCGGTGGGAGTCCGGACCTTAATCTGGACGAAGGATGGTCGCCATCCTTCACCGGGGTTATGTATCACCGTCATCTTGAGTCACGTACAGAGGGCAACGTTGTGATTTGGGATCTTCGTGTGCGCATGATCGCGATTGATCTAGAGGACCCTGCTTGCGGTAGTGGGGGATGTTCTCTCGGGGCTTATCTTGCGGTATCGAATGGTCAGAAGGGGCGGCATCATCGGTTCTATATTGATCAGGGAATTGAGATGGGGAGGGATAGTCGGGTCATTGTGGAGGTGGTCTTGGATGAGGACAGGAAGAAGGTCTCCACTATCAAACTCGCTGGCCATGCTGCATTTGTAGCGGAAGGGAGCATCTTTGTTGATTGAATAGCCCGTAGGTTGTGAGAAAGAACAATCAAATGACACTAGTAGGACGGTACACAAAAGGCCAAAATCTATAGATGGTTCAGTAGATCATTACCGCACTTTCGAAGAATTCGAGTTCACATATATTCTAATTGGGCATTATGCAGAAATTCAATGATCACAGTCCCTTGTTAAAAAGCTCTCCTATCTCTTTAAGCAGCGGCTCCTTCTGCACGGCCTGAACCTTCATCTTCCCAGAGATCGTCTCTGCCACACCCATAGCGCGACAAAGATCGATTAGAGACCCATCCATCGGAGCTTCGTAAACAAGAAGCCCAAGGGCAAATAACAGCCCATGCAAGGCTTCCACGCTTTCGTCCTCGCGGGAAACAGCCTCAAGCAACGACGCAGTCAGTTCGACCTGATCTTCCTCAGATAGAGGATCCGAGTTCCCATCGAAGCGGGCATTATGATTGAATGAGGCAAGATTGTATGCAAAAGAGGCAGCGACAACGCGGAGGCTAGTTTGTGAGTCTAGGAGGGAGTTGGTCGCGAGACGGAGACAGGTCTCGCGGAGCGGGGATGAGGAGGAGGTGAGTTGCTCTGGGTAGAGAGGTGTGCTGAAAAGATTGCAGGCTAGTTGGAGGGCCACGATGCGGAGATTGTATGGACATGAGGAGAGATCGTCTTGGGATAGCGGTGCAAGAAGAGTGAGGAGGGTTGCGTGTTGGGCTTCTTCGGCGAAGTAGCCACTTGCACGTGGGTCAAGCAAAACAAGACGAACTAGATCAACCACGGCAAAATGACTGCCACTGGGAAGCGTCGAGTATGTGGAGTTCAATGTTGTGGCAAATGCATGCAAATCGGGGACCCTGATATCGGCGACACGTTCAGTGGTTGAATGACGCTGCTTCACAAATTCAATGACTTGCGCGACGCCGTGACCTTCCTTGAATGCGACAGGAAGCTTTTGGAGGAGCTTGTCGAGTGGCGGGACCTTCTTATACATGACGAAGGTCGTAATCTCTCTCTGAAGACTGGGAAGTCGTAGTTGACGATGGGGGTGGGCAGGGTGGGCCATCTCTAGCAACATACGAACGTTTCCCACTAGCTTTGCCGGGGTTGCACCGCTCCATTGATCCAGCTTTTGGCCCTTCAAAAATGTCATAAACGTAGGAGTCGAGCGCACGCTGTACTTCATGCCAACATCGCGAGCTACGCCGATATCGACTTTGATGAGAGTTCCTCGATCACCTGCTTCCGCTGCGAGTTGGTCATATGTTGGGTAGACAGCCTTGCAGGGCGGACATGTTGACGACGTGAAGAAAATCACGGCGCAGGAATGGGAAGCACCAGCCAGCTCACTTTCTAGCTGAATGAGATTGTTCACTATGCGGACTGTGCCCGCTGCTTGGTGTGTCACTGGTTGCGGTGCGGGAGGTACAGTCCTTGCTGTGGTCGGTTGAACACTAGGACCAGGGGCAGGACCTATCCCGGTGCCTTGAGTGACGCCTTTGAGAGCACTCTCAATTTGAGGTTTCATCATCTGCCCAAATGGGGTTTCAAGGAAAGTGCGAGGTAGATTGATGATATGGTCCGGGATACTTTTACCGACAAGAAACATTGAAAGGTCTTGAGTAAAGTTATTGCAGTTATGAAGAAAAAGGTCGTAGGACTAGACCTGATTAGCCATAGTTCCGTTGCTGAAGTCGTTTATGAACAAACCTCGGGCGTATAAATTGTTGCTAATGAGCCAAGGTATTCTTCAATAACATCATTTGGAAGCTCGGTAGTACCCAACTTCACGACCTCCATAGGCTGTCCATGATGAGTCTTCCCTGGAGCAGAGGTCTGGATACCCTGGCCGAAGTAATATTCAACCCCGTTGAGGACAATGGATGTATGGTAGATGGCATCCATTTGTGTCCCCGTCAAAGCAAGGGAGTACTGTACAAATCAGAGATTGCTCGCTTTCAATATTGCGTTGAACATACCATTCGGGCCAGACCCTATATTCAAGATTAGTTGATATTTATTGCGTGCAGAATTGAAAAACTTACCTTTGAAAGGTCATAAACATATAGTGAGACATCCATGATGGAGTAATGTAGAAGAAAGTAACCTTTGAAGTGAAAGTCGAGATAAAAGAGCCCTTTCAAGGTTGAAGCACCAGGCGCCAATCCGATAACGTCAGCGTCGGGTGCCTGCTATCACCTTCGATCGTTTTCTATAACATTTGGTATGTGACATTTGATCTATAATATTTGATATGTACATGATATCTAAACTGGCTATATCTATTAAAATGGAATGTGGCGTTATCCATCGACGCGATCTCATTTCTCACTTTATACTGCCTCTAGAGCTAGTAACTCTCGATATCCGGAGTACGTGGAATCTGCTTAAGAACCAGACAAGTCATGAATACACTAGTAGACTCTAAGAGCCCAATGCAAAAAGATTTGCTAATTTTCACATGGTTTTGATAATCATTTATGTGTATCATTGTGTATAATAGAGCTATGAAACTGGTACCATCCATAGATCGTTTTCCAATCGCCGCTCTCCCCACCTTCATCACTAAATTCCCATCTTGTCCATGCCAAACACCCTTGTGAAGTCCGCAAGTCCTGCCAGTATTATCCACATGGTAAGAGATCCCATATATTTTCAATGCTCAACCGAATCTGACTCTCCCTTGCAGCCTCCCAAAAAGCGCGGAGGCGCAGTTAGCTCCTCCGCACCAGCAGCGCCAAAACGCGGACGCGCATCCAAGCTCGCCAAGGAGAACAACATCACCGCGGAAGAAGAAAACGAAATCAAAGAAGTTTTCAGCCTATTCTCCGACAAGAACCCAGACTTCCCGGACGAGAAGGAGGGAGTCATTCCCCGCGAAGATGTGCGCAAGGCACTGGTGTAAGCTTCCCTACATCTCTCCTTCAAATCGACATTACCTAAAACCCCACCCCTTCCTCAATTTTTTGCTCCAAATCTACAGCTACTAGATACTAACAACTCTCCCTTCAACAGCGCCCTCGGCCTCCCACCCACCGATTCAACCGAACTCGCCGAAATCCTCTCCGCTCTCGATCCAACTCTAAGCGGATACGTGCCCTACGGCCCCTTCGTCTCAATAGCAGCAGCCAAGTTGCGTTCGCGCGATGATGACGCCATGGCTGCCGAGGTCGACGATGCGTACCAGCTATTCACGCGCGGCACGGATGGCCCCATTACATTGTCGCATCTGCGGCGCATTGCGCGTGACTTGAAGGAGGATAGTGTGGGTGATGATCTACTTAAGGATATGATTCTTGAAGGGAATGGGGGTGCTGGGTTGAGTGCTGGTGTTACTTTGGAGCAGTTTCATGATGTCATGACCAGAGCTGGTGTGTTTTAGAAGTGGAGGATTTGTGTAGATGATGAGATTGTGTTTCTTGTTTTGCTGGATATGGGGGTGGGGTTTGGCGTTTGATATGGCATTTTCTTTTTAGCAGGGAGTCGGAGGTTTTGGAACTTTGAAGGATTGGATTGTTCGAAAATCGAGTATCATTTGTAATGTTCCATTGTGGGTGTAGTAGATACATGCTTTCCTCCACCGGCTTCTGCGAAAGACATGGAAAAATTAAGCCTGCTGGTACTAGCAAAAGAAGAAAGAAGAGTAGAGAAACACAGCCATTGAAAAAAAAAAGCAGAACAAAAGGAGCACAGAAGGAGATATGACCCGCGCATCAACCGTAAAGAACTCCCGAGAATATTTGCGAAACTTGTATCATGCAGGAGCCGCGATGGAGGAAAGTGAAAGAACAGTTGGGAACATTTAGGAGATCTCGTCGGCCATGCCGATGTCCTGGTTGGCGCTGGCCTGGGGGACAGTGGCACTGACAGGAGCAGTACCTTCAGCAGGGGGGGCGTCGGCGGAGAAGTAGTCGACCATCTCAGCATCAAGCTCCTCAACAGTCTTGGGCTTTCCACGGCCGGTAACGCGGCGGCCACGAGTGCCAGCAGGGCCCGTACCGCGGCGGCGTCCCTTGTCAGTGGCCGCGGTCTTCTTGTCTTCCTTGGCCTTGGGGGCGGCGGCGGCGGACTTGGGCCGAGCCTTCTGACTGTGAATGAATAAGTATATGAATGCGGACTTGCTAAAACGGACATCAACTTACGCAATGCGCTCGGTGAGAGGCTTGGAAGCAGGGACAGCAGGAACGTGGGACGCATCGTAGACAACCTCGATCTATTATCTAGGTCAGTAATGTTGCAGTGAAGGTTAGCCGGAGAAGATGATTTACCTTCATGGGGCGACCATCGACAAGGAGTCCGTTGAGCTCCTTGGTGGCCTTGGCAGCGGTGTCTGCCCTGTTGAATTGGATGGAGGCGATGCCACGGCTAGTACCATTCTGGTTGTAGGTGAGCATGACCCGTTTGACGGGACCAGCAGACTTGTTGAAGTATTCCTATAGCGCAAAGACGATCAGTATTTTCGTCAGACAATTTCAGTGAGAGTGCGGTTCTCGAGTGTCGGTAACAAGGTGGCGGCGCAAACGAGGACGGCCAAAGGTGAGAGGGCATCAGCGAGCACACAGCATGAATCGATTGATGGTTTCATCCCAGCATTGGAACATGAAACCTATAGCTCCATAATCGCAACCACATCCGACAGGTCGCAAGGTTGCTCCTCGCAATGGAACATAACACGCCAACGAATATCCATAGTAGTATGGAGTCTCAACTTCATCCGTAAATCCATCAAGCGATTACAACAAGTCCTTCAACAAAAGCATCATTTTTCACATCACCGCCGTCAAAGCGAAATTTGTCAACTGGAATCCATTTGCCCATGGAGGTGTCATCCCAACAAAATAGGGCCATTTAGACACGGTTTGGATCTCTCTGAGTCACTGAAATAGGTAATCACCCCATAGTAGCAAGACTCTTCACGGAGAGATTTGAGACAAGAGTCTCGAATAGGTAGGTTTCAGTCTTCCCCCTGAACCTTGAACCTGTTGACCACTGTTCCACTGATGCGC